TGGATTCCTGTCATGACAAAAATACCCAATCACATATCCTTTAAACAGTTTTCTCCCTCATCTGTTTCAATGCAGTATACATTATTTATCCCATTTTTTCAGTCTCTCCTCAACCCCGATGTCAGTCCTGTTTTACAACAGTGACACTTCACCAAAGAAGACATTCAGATGGCCAACAAACAGATGAAGAAATGTTCAAAATCTCTAAGAGAGATGCAAATAAAAACAACTATGAAATATCCACTCACTCCAGTAAGAATAGCAAAATTTAACAGAACAGCAAGCAACAAATGCTGGCGAGGTTGTGGAGAAACTGGAACTCTTATTCACAGTTGGTGGAAGTGTAAAATGGTGCAATGACTGTGGAAGGCAGTGTGGTACTTTCTCAAAAAGTTGAAAATAGAGATACCATTTGACCCAGAAATTCTACCACTGGGAATTACCCCAAAGAGACCATAACTGCCACCCAAGCAGATATATGCACACCCATGTTTATCGCAGCTTTGTTCACAACAGCAAGGAGTTAAAAACAATCCAAGTGCCCATCAACAAATGAATGGATAGAGAAGCTGTGGTGTAGTCACATAATGGAATACTACACCGCATTAAAAAACAAGAAACTCAAGCAATATTATTAAAAATGGGTGACCCTGGAGAACATTATGGTGAGTGAGATATCTCAGTCACAAAAGGATAAATACTGCATGGTGTCACTGTTGTAAAGCATATATACCCTTAAGAGAATATGGCTAAAAAGGAAAATAAATCTCATTTCAGTATTGAGCTAGTGACACAGTCTAGAACTAAATATGAAAATCCATATTCAATACAAATGTAACTATGAATAATAGTAGAAGCATCTAAATTTTTTTAGTTATTTCCACTGTATAAGGTACTCTTCTGAGCACTTTACGTGGATTCAAGAATACAGACACTTAAGTCCCCATAACAATCATTATATAAAGAGGATATTAAAAGAAATAAGTCCAAAGATTAATTTGTCCAAAGTCTCAGAGCCACCCACTGCTGTAGAGTGTGACTCAGAACCCTCTGTCTTGTTTCTGAGGATATAAATCTTTACAGAAGCAGCTCTGGTGTTTAATCAGGGAGCTCCACCCAACACTGTCCACCATGGGTAACCATGATCACATTTGACACATCAGTGTCACAGTGTTCAGCATCACAGCAACCATGAGTTACCTCTGTACAGTAAATGGACAGACCAGTGCTATGCCACTTAGAAGAAAGTTAGGAACACAAAAAGCATTACAATTTTTGATAATCTGACTCATCCCCTGGCAAGATAATCCATTTTATTTAGCCATCAAAGACTACTGTTTTATCTCCTTTATATATCAACACTTGAAATATAAAACAAATAATAATAAGCATTTTTATAGAACAAGTTTTGCCAGTTAATTTGCTTTTAAATTAAAAAATTAGAATATAAAATAATTTAATATGTACATTATATTTATAATAAATGTTTTTCAATACCAAAAAAAATTTATTTTTTTAATTAAAGTTTAATGTGCTATAAGTTTATTCTAAAATGGGAAAAAAGAACTTGAATCAAAAAAAGAAAAGCTCACCAATTACTGTTTTGAATCTGGGCTTATCTACCTCAGTAAATAACATACTACTACAGAAATAAATAAAAGGAAGGTGTTGATGAAGATTCTGGGCATTATGGCAATCTTATCCAAAGAGAATTACAGATTCTAGCCTCATGGAGGTCTCCAGAATATTCCACATCAGATTTCTGGGTGCCAAAGACTAGCAATATCTCAAAGAAACATGATGTTACATGTTTCTTTTTATTCTAAGTAAAGGCAATTTCCAAAAACAAACAAAACCAAACTCCCAAATATAACAAAGCTATAATTTCATTTCAGGAGGGACCAGTCCTTGGAGAAGGACATCATGCTAAGAGGGGTGGAGGGATGGCCCAGGAGTCGAAGACCCAGGATGAGATGGATTGATACAGTGACTGGGGAAATGGGGTTAGGTGTGTCAGAATCAATGAGACTGGCTCAGGACAGGGCAGGCTTCAGAACTGCTATACACAGGGTCGTTACGAGTTGCAAGCAACTTGAGGGCACATAACAACAACAACAACTTAAAACCGAAAATTTAGGATTTAATGTTAGAAAAATATTCTTCCTCAAATGGGCAGTAACTTCAAATTCATGTATACTACATTCATTTATACATTATCCTTAAGTTTCTTGTTTTAATCCAAACTTGTAAAAACTATCAAAAGTACAACTGGTATTAAGGAGCATACTGACAGTGTTATTGCCTTTAAAGTAATAATAAGTTTTTAGAAGGCCAATATAACTCAAGTGGAGAGAGACAGAAAAGAAGAAGAATGACAGTGAAATGGGTTGTGTAAGCTTTTTATTGAAGACCTGAAGAAAAAAAATTGTGGATGACCAGAACTTGGGGGGGGGGGAGTTAATAACACACACTGAAAAACAGAATTAAGACTGAAATAGACATTGATTTAGTGAAACAAAACAAGTTCTATTTAAGAACTAAAAGTTATATCCTTTTTATTTTAAGCCAAGTGCACAAAAATACAACAGGAATATGTG